AAAAACGATGCTCACCAGGCAGTGTTGGCACACGCCTTTAATCCTAGCATGCTGGAGGCAGAGGCAGGCAGAAAACTGTGAGTTTGATGGCAGTCTGGTCTACAGAGAGTTCCAGGACATCCAAGGTCACACAGAGAAACCTTGTCTCAAAAAACAAGCAAGCAAACAAATGGACAAAAAGATTTATGCTTATGGTGTTATGTAGAGATGGCTTGGCTTTCATCCACTCTGTGCCCTCTGGCCAGCAGGACTGGGTGGGAACAGCAGGGGTGGGAGAAGCAAATGCAACTTAAAACTGCAGGATCACCTTGGACGATGGCAGATCAGAGTGCTATGGACGTACGAGAGTAAGCCATGTGCAACAGAGTGGCTTCTGTGGGTGGGTCAGGGTTTAGACATGTTTCAGAGTTATTATACTGTGGTGGGCATGTGAGTACTCAGTGTGCTATCGCAGGCATTGTCTACTTTTAGGGTCACTGGATGAGAGCAGGGCGTGCTGCAGGGTGAGCTGTGTGCTGAAGACTGGGACTGCTGCTGCACAACATTTTGGAGTGTTCTGGTCCAGGCTGCATGGCCAACTTATGTCCTCCAATGTAGTCGCCAACTTTGTATGGGCCTCTGCAGCAACACTGCGGCTCTTGCTCTGCAGGGGCTCCATGGGAACCTGGCTGGGAGCTGGGCTACTCATGGGTTTCCGTGGCGACAACAGGGCGGAGCCAGGAAACAGCCGCTCAGGAAGGAAGGCTGGCCTTCAGGCCAGAGAGAACCCACTGGGCTGAGGAGGCGCCAGACATTCTGTCCAGTTTCCCCAACCCCTGCTGGCCGGTGTTCTCGCCCATTCCGTTGGCCTCACCCTCGCCCCGCCCCCACACCTCAGAACTGTGGGGTCTTTACATAAATAGTTACTTTTATTCTCAGCTCCGTGCATGGCCTGGGTCTGTGTACATTAACTGTCTCTGTTCTCATGAGTGCTTCAGTTCCCTTGGTGGTCCTTTGCCTATAACGTGGGCATACTTGGGTCTCTGGGAGGTAGTACCCATGCTGAATGAATGCCCTGCCATGTTGAGCTGGACCCTCCTTGCCTTGACAGACTGGGAGATGGAGATAAACGGAGACCAGGGCAGAGAAAGAACACATCTCTCTCCTCTTTCTCCCTCTCCATTCTTCTCCCTCTTTTCTCATCATTTTTCTCCTTTTTTAAAAATGTTGCTAAGCGGGCCAGGCATGAATGGCGCATGCCTTAAATTCCAGCACTTGAAAAGCAGAGGCAGGTGGATCTCTGTGTTTTTAATGCTTGCAATGAGTTCCAGGACAGCCAGGGCTATGTAGAGAGACCCTGTCTCAAAAACAAACAAAAAACAAACATGTTGTTAATTAAGGTGACCCCAGAACTCTCTATGTATCTCACACTGGCTTCTGCTTTCTAAGTTTTGGGATTGTACATGCAGCAATCACACCCAGCTTTGCGTGCTCCCCACCCCCACTGGCTGGTAACAAATGGCTTGGTGGAAACCAGCTGACTGTTTAAGGACTTCTACTCTCCCTTACTCAGGGACAGAATTCTTTTTTTTTTTTTTTTTTTTTTTTTGGTACTGAGCCCCCCTGCTGGCACCAGACTGTCTTCTGAGGTAGGAAACTGGAAAAGAATAAACAGCCCCAATCCTTGCTGTGAGGTGTTCCCGTTTTGTATGGAAAGGCTAAAAAAATCAATAAATCCACAGATAAGCACATATTGGTACTACTAGGTATGTGTAGGGGCTATGCCAATATCTACGCCCTGTTTTTTTTTGTTTGTTTGTTTTTTGAGCCCACACCTGAAAGAAACGTGAAGAAACCACACAAGAAGCATGCTACACAGGCGGGGAGCAGGTGTATGGAAGGGCTGTGGTGAAGCATGAGGACTGAGGATCTAGAAGCCCAGTGGAGCCTGGATGGGTCTTGCTTTTATCTCTGAGTGAGACTTGGGAAGGGTTTTCAGTGACTTTGCTCCTGCAGGGGCTGGGCTGTGGCTGACTTTATCCAGGTTGGTCTTTGCAGCACGGCAGGGCAGGCAGGCAGGCAGGTTGCCTTATAGGATTCCACAGGTTTGCTGCCTCTGAGTCAGACCTCCATGCTTCATGCATCACCTCTGACCCTGTGGCTGCCTGGGTCTCCTTAGGGTAGGAGGGTGGAGTGGCCGCCAAGCTGGCGGGCTGGCAGGGCAGGGGGGCGGCATTTCTGGGAATTGTGTGGGGGAAGCACATTCACATTGTTAGAGCAAGCCTGCAACTAGGGCCTCACTGGCCTCTGGGGGATGCCTCCTGCCTCCCTAGCCCTGCCTCTGGCAGTGGTGGGGTGGGGGGTGAGGGGACAAAGCTGGACCCTGGCCAGGCTGTGGGCCGGCGGGGGACTTTCCAAACAGACATTTCCATGAGTCCACGGCTCTTCCCATTCCGTAGGCTAGGAGACTGAGGCTCAGAGAACTGGCATCTTACACAGACAAAGCCAGCATCCATGTGCCCAGTCCCCACCTCCTCCCCCAAATGACCAGACACACTCCTACCTGTCCCTGGTCACTGCCCTACCTGATCACAGAAGACGGTGTCCGAGGAGGGACTAAGGTGGGACTGGCTACGGTTATAGATCCACAGAGCTCTAAGATGGAGACCTGTAATCCCCAAAATGGGCTAGAGGGCCTGAGAACTTTATGCAGGGGAGGGGCTACCATATGGTGACAGAAGTAGGACCTCCTGGGGCTTAGGATGCCTCCCAGTCTGTGAAGATGGGGAACCATGGGGCTCCGTGTGAGCTTGGCAGTGCGAGTGTTCCCACCCACCACCGCCCTGCCTTGGCCAGAGGGGAAGCACTCAGGCCACCACTGGGGTCAGGGCCAGCTCTGGGCAGACTGGGATGGGGGTAGGGATCACAAATAGAAAAATAAATGGCTTAAGCTTCCGCTGTTTCCTGAACTGAGGAAGGGGGAAGGGCAGGCTTTGGGCCAAAGGTGCAGTTGGCCTGGTGGGGCAGACCCTGGGGATGTCCCATAATCCCACCCGTTAGGGTATTGTCTGCCCTTTTCAGGCCTTCAAGCTGGGATATCTCCACCCCAGGGACCCTAGGATAGGGCTGTGTTGCTCTCGGAGGGCTCCCTGAGGTTGGTGATCCACGGCAGGAAGGGACAGGCTATTAAGGAAAATTGGGTGTACCCCAGGAAGGTTGGTTGCAAAAGCTAGATGGTGAACCGTGAAGGAGCCTCATCTACGTGTTCTGGGAACTTTCGAAAGCCCCCAGTGGTAGACAGGACAGGAAGGTAAGCAAGGCTATCTCCCAGAAGCAGGCAGGTGTGTCCCTCTCCATCGCCTTCAGAGGGTACAGGACAACACCATGTTGAAATGAATACCTGGTGGTGTCCAGATGGTGTTTTGTGGGGGAAGTTTCACTGAAGACAAAACTCCCAAAGTCAGCAAGGTATGTGTGTGTGGTGGGGGTGTTGTGATGTCAGGGGTGACTTCTCTGTGCAAGGGCCAGAAGGTTGAATTTGGAGCTCCTGTAGTCTGGGATCAGGGATTTTTGTTTGTTTTTGAGACAAGGTCTCTCATATAGCCCAGGCTGTCCTCAGACTGGATATGTATCTGAGGATGACTTTGAACCTCTGATCTTCCTGCCTCTGCCTCCCAAGTGCTGGGAGTACTGGCAGATGCCTGGCTTTATGCAGTTGAACCCGGGGCTTCTTCGATGCTAAGCAAACACTACCAACTGAACTTATCCCCAGTTCAGGGAATGAGGGTTTCTAAGGCTGGGCTGTGGAAATATCTGGCTGGTCAGTGCCAACCCCACAAGTGAGGACCCCTCAGTAATGAACACATCTTTGATCTGGCTTTTTTTTTTTTTTTTTTTTTTTGTTACCATAGCTCCCCTGCTGGTGATCTACTGGACTTTTCTCTGGAAGGAGCCACGGTCTGAGCAGGTTTGTGGGTTGCTCCTGCCACCTACAGGCTGCTGTCGGTCACCACTGGGACGACTAGTTCTGTGGACACAGCCCCTTCAGCATGGTTGAGGGCGATTGTGGCTCCTTTACTGCTTGTGCTGTTGTAGGGTCCTGCAAGCATCAACTCTGTGCTCAGACACGGGGTTTCCCTTTTCCAGAATTTGTTTGGTTGGGTTTGGCTTAGAGCAAGGGCCCAGATGCCAGGAAAGGGCAGAATTAGAGCTGGTATGGAAGCTGGAGGGCTGCCCCTCTGGTAGAGCTTTGTTACCTATGAGGAATTCCACACTTTTTCCTTATGGTGACGATGTCACAGCTGATTAGATGGTCATCCCAGGCCATTTGTTAATTCCATTTGCACCTTGGTCTCGTGGTTACTGTGGGTACAGCAATTCAGACAACTGTCTTTTGGCACCAGCACACCTGCCACCATCAGCAACACACAAGAGGAGAGGAGAACCTCTTTTCCTTGCCTGGGCAGGGTTATGATGTTCCCCAGTGCCCTGTCCGGTTCTCAGTGTACAATGTGAACCGGAAGACCCTGAGCCTCTGTCATCCTCACTTCACAAGTTGGGAGATGACGCTTAGAGCAACGAACAGAATCTGTGATTTACACCCTGTTAGGTTGACTTCAGAGCCTGAATTCTTGCCCAAGAAGCCGTCTCAGAGTCTGGGACTGATATCTCCCAGTGTGCCCTGCATCTGCGTAGAGGCAGGAACGACCCAAAGTTGACTTGGTAACGATGGAAATAGGGTTGGCTGAGAAGTCCCGATGCTACAAGCACTTCAGCGAAGTGGAGGCTACCGGAGTGAACTAGCGAAGAATGTACCACCAGGGCAAGCGGCTCAGATGGGTTGAATTAAAGACCGTATCGCAGTATACTCCTCCCCTCAAGTCCACCCTCTCCCCGGCATTCGGAGGGCGTGTGGGGCGGTCGTTCCGAGGACGTTCGGAGGAGGAACTACCTTTTCCAGCGGGCCGCGCGCCACACGCCGCACAGTCGTCTGGGAGTTGTGGTCCCGGGGGCGGAGACTTTTTTTTTTTTTTGACTGTGTTGCACGCGGCCGCCAGGCGGAGGTTTGGACCGCGCATCTTAGGCGGCGGCGGCCGAGGTCTGGCCGGGCGGCGCAACCGGCGCAACCCGCCGCCACCAAGGTGGTGATGGGCAAGGAGGAGGAGATTGCGCGGATCGCCCGGAGGCTGGACAAGATGGTGACCAGGAAGAGCGCGGTGAGGGGCGCGGGCCGCCAGGACCCTGGGGCCCCCGCTCCGTGGAAACCAGCTGAATCCACCCACGGGGAGAATGATACTCAGACCAGTTGAGACCCCTGCCCCAGGTCCGCTCTCTACCGTGGGATTGCCGCTTCGCACTGGACTCCAAGCTGACTTGGGAGTCGCCCACTGCCCCCTCGCCCAGCGGTGGTCGCGGGCGTTCTTAGCCCAGCCGTTGTCTCCCATGTCTGCCCCCCACCCTCCAGAACCAGGTTTCTCTAATAAATTTCCCCTCCTGCTTAGTCAGGCCTCAGGCTGCAGCAAGTCGGTGTGGCCAGACTGTAGATTTGGAAATGGACCTGTGTCCTTGAGACCCTAGGAGACCGATTCTACCCCTCACCTTGCCCGAAGGCACTGTGGTCTTGGCTTACAGTCTAGCCTGCCTTCCGACCCTGGGCACCCATGTAACCCTTTCCGGAGCATCCTTAGGAGATGATGGCATCCGTATCTTGCCTTCCGTGGGTGGGAAGGGACCAGGAGGTGGCCTTAAAGCTAAGCATGAGCCACCCATCCGCGGCACTAATCCCAGGGTAGCCCAGATGGTGGCTGAGTCTTGAGTCTGTACAGCCTCCCTAGGATTGTGCATGAAGTGGCAGAATGCAGGACAGTTTTTGGGAACGAGCAGGATTGGGTTCCTGTTGGTCAGGGTTGGGGGAGGCTAAACCAGGAAGAGGGTTAGGTTCCCCTTTATGCCCCAAACAGCCACATTCTGTAATGACTTGGGTGCAGAGGCTTGTTGGTGCTTCTTTCCTCTAAGGGTGTTAAACCCAAATGACAAACTTGGAGGTGGCAGAGATGGGGTGGGAATCTACAGGGGCTTGGGGACTGGTAGAGACACAGCAAGAGCCAAAGGCCACAGATAGGACTGTACAGTGGAGAAGGGAAACGGCAGAGGTTCCAGGAGATACCAGCAACCTGAGAGGCTCCTTGGAGCCGCTGGTCATTTATTTGGGCCTTCTGGGTGGGAGTACAGAGCTGTTTGGGAATGCATGCCCCTGGCTCCAAGGCTCTAAGGTTTTCTCAGGAAGTCACCTCAGGGCTGACTGGTGTACAGCCTCCCTAGAAGGATCTGCTTTAGGGTTAGGCTGCAGTCTGAGCAGATAATTAACAGATTGGAGGTCAGCTCCAGGCTCTCCCACTGTCTCTACTATGGAAGGTTTGAAGGGCTGGATGGGTTTTCTCTGCCTCTTTGAGGCATGTAAAGGCCCATGAGTTCATAGTGGCAACGCAGAGTAATTGCAAGCCTCGGGTGTTGGAAGGGGTCTGTCAGCAATTCCAACAGTGTTGGTGTTGGAAGAAGTCCGTCAGCTGTAGGAAGGAGGTGCCTGAATAAAGCTTCCAAGTGCTAGGGTTCTTAGGCAGAGTGAGGGTTTTAAGGTAGGAAGAGGAGGAGCCTGCCTTCGAGGTGCTGCCTGTTTGTAAATACTGAAGACCAGAGCTTGGGCAGAGGCAGAAAACCAGGGTTGTTTGTTACAATACCCAGGAGAAGTACTACACTGACCAATGGACACTTTGAGGAAAGGCTTAGATGGACTAAGGCTAAGGAACCCGAGTTATATCTCTGAGTGTCCTTCCATGTTGAGCAGGAACTGGGGCTTTTTTTTTTTTTCTCTAGTAGTTTGCTCAGTGACCTGGTGTGGTTACCATGAGGTCTGGGGGTCACCACAGATGCAGGGTGAGAAACCACCTGACCTTTGAGGATAGCACTGTTAAGCTGTTTGCCTCTATCCCTGCCCTATTGCAGGTGCAGTAAAAAGCCCCTGTAGTGATGGTGTGTGCATTGCTCTGGTCTTCTCAAGATAGAGGAGAGGCTTCTTTCTGACATGTAAATTGTCTCCCATATGATTGGGAAGATCCACTAAGGTTTAAATGTCCTTTATGGAGGTTATCTTTCCTTCCAGGAGGGAGCCATGGATTTGCTTCGGGAGCTGAAGACCATGCCTGTTACATTGCACCTGCTCCAGGTAAGCTCTCCTGGTCCTGGTATAGGATGATTCCAGAGGCAGCAGGTCTAAGAACATCTAGCAGGGCTCCTTATATGACTCATACAAGTCTTAGCTGGCATAAACAACTGTTCTAAGGAGAGGGCTTCTGATTCTCTCTGGTGATCAGTGAAGTGGGAGGGGGGTGCTCTGGGTTCCAAGTGAGACCATAGCCATTGGGGGAGATGTCTTTCTGTCTCTGCCCATTCCCCAACCCTTCCCTATGGGAGTCAAGAGTCCTTAGTGAGGATCTGTCTCTGGAGCAGGCCCCTACCACCTGTGACCCAAGCCACTTGCCTTGCAGTCCACCCGTGTTGGGATGTCTGTCAATGCCCTGCGGAAGCAGAGCTCGGACGAGGAGCTCATTGCATTGGCCAAATCCCTCATCAAGTCCTGGAAGAAACTCTTGGGTACGGGTCAGAATGTGAAGGGTGGCTCTTGCTGCTCAGCACAGCATAGGATGATGGCTCTGCTGCTCTTACACAGGCTCTCTGGTTGTGGGATACAAAATACAGGTCAGAGAGTACCCATCCGTGGGCTGGGAGTGGATGAGGATGATGGAAGATGATGTCATCTGTTGAGATGGGGAGGGGATGGCCTGGGAGGCATGACCATTGAGACAAGGGTGTATGCTGGGGAGCAGGTTTTCAAGCTGCGGGAGGTCAACAGAAAAGGAGGCCCAGGTCAGCATGCTCCAGATGGAGGAGGAGGTGGGGCTGCTACCTCTGCAAGAGGTAAGCTAGGCAGACAGCAGCTGTTTGTGGGGACAGTGGACAACTAGGCTGCAGAGATGCTCCCATTGACTAGGGAGGCAGCCATTCCTGGGGTCTGTCTACACCTCTATGAGACAACCCAGGATCTGTCCCTGCTTATAGTCCCATGGCCATCAAGAAGCCTCAGTGTAAGTTTGTCCTGGTCCCCAGTACAGGTTTTGGGCAAGCCCATGTTTTCCGAAGGAGCCTTTTATGGGGCATATGCTTATTTTCTGACCAGGTTGAACCAGAAGAGTCCCACAGCAGCTTGCTTGAGTGGGGGCTTGAGGAGGGTGGGTCCTGAAGAGGCTGGTGGGCTTGTTGGGGACCGGAGGAAGGTCTAATGGCCTCCTGGCACCTTGCTTGTCTAATGGCTTTAAGCAGTAGGGATAATGGCCAGGCAGAGGCTGAGCTGGCACCTGGCTGCCTGCTCCTGACCAGTCTATACCATCCATTTTCTGATAATGGCAGATGTTTCTGATGGCAAGACCAGGGATCAAGGGAGGGGCACACCTCTGCCTACATCGTCCTCAAAGGATACCACAGGGACTACGGATCTCAGGTAGCATATCTGAAGGCAGGTATATACATTTCTGCCTCTTGTCTCAGTGGGAAAAGGAGGTTGATGTTGTCTGTTTGCCTGGGCACTGCCCTGAGGGAGAGGCCCTTTCCAGGGCACCATCTGTAAAGTTAGTCAGCCTCATGTTGGATACTGTCCCACTGCTCAGTTCCCTTCTTGCCCATCTAAGATGTCGGTGTCATCACTGAGACCTTCAGTAAGAAGGGGCTACCCATCAGGAGCTGGCCCATCCCCAGGCCCCCTTGCCTGTTCCCTTAGACCCTATCTTTTTGCTGCCCAGCAGGATTGGTGAATGGGTCGCTTGTGCAATGCTATCCAGAGCTATAAGTGGGCACAGCTCAGATCTCCACATTCAAGTGTTGCCACACCACTGCCTTAAAGGTGGTCAGGAAAGACATGTTACCATGGAGACTAGGGGCACTGCTAGTTACAGGCTGTGGATGAGAGGCTGCTTTGATCAGATGGTAGCAGTGGCCAGAGGCTGGGCCCAGGCCACAGCAGCCTATGCTCTGGACTCCAGCCTTGCAGTCCTGATGTGATGTCATGTCCTCAGCTCATTAGCACACTTATACAGTGGATTTTGCCCCAGAAAGCCACCTGATGCTGCTGATTTCCAGAGGAAAGGGCCTGGTGGATATATATAGCATGACTGGTGGGCAGGTCTTGTACTGGGCCCAAACCTGAGATCCTTGCCCAGTTTCATTTGTGTTGAGTGGGGTCACCTGTGACATTAAGACTTGACTTTGGGTGATCTCCCACCTCATCTTTATTCCAGGCAACCAGAAGCATTTGCCTGGCTCTGCCATTAGCAGAGAGGTATTCACAGCGTGGTCTATGTCCCGGGCCTCTTGGGAAGCAGACACTCTGAAGCTAGCAAGAATATCTCAGCCCCCTTTGACCAGGGAGCATCGCTGAGACGCTGATTGTTGAGGAAGGATCTGGTATCCACTTGGGGGAGTGATTTGTGGTTTCACTGTGGATCTTGTGGCCAATGCCCTTCTCTGATAAGGAAGCCAGAGCACACAGGCATTCTAGGCTGAACTAAGGATGAATGAAATCATTGGGCCTAGCTGGTGGGTCTGTCAGGATAGAACAAATGGGCTTTGGAGGCCAGCATGTTGTCCACATTTGCTTTTCTGGGGATCACCTGTGGCTCAAGAAAGGTCAGGGGACCACCCAGAGTGTACTGGGTAGCGTACCAGTGGTGTCCAATAGTAACTGAAGATGCATAATTTAGCTTAACAGGCTCAGTCTGAGCCCAGTAGGCTTTGTCTCTCTAGTTGCAAGAAGCCAGACCCACCTAGGACCTTATCCACTCCGAGGATCACCACATTTCCCCCAATGCCCATCACCTGTGACGCTGTACGAAACAAATGCCGTGAAATGCTGACTCTGGCCCTGCAAACGGACCGTGAGTATTACAAGCTCTGGTTTTGACACTTGTCCAGATTCCTAGGGTGGCCTGGGCCACTGCCTGCTTTAAAGGTTGCTGCCAGAGAGATAACACACACACTCTCTAGTGTTTTGAGACATGGTTTCTCCATTAACAGCTCTGGTTATCTCGGAACTCGATTTGTAGACCAGGCTGGCCTCAAATTCACAGAGATCCACTTGCCTCTGCCTTCCGAGTGCTGGGATTAAAGACGTGTGCCTCCACCACCACCTGGTGACAGCTCTTCCCTTTAGCCTGCTGTGACCTAGGGAAGAGGCTTGGGTTTTGGGGGTCACCAGAACACCTGAATCTTGGGAACTGTCTCCCAGGAATGAAAGTGTCCTATTTAGCCTCTAGGGCACTGTGCAAGCAGAAGGGTGGCAGGTGGAAAAACTCAGTGGGGGAAAGTAATGAGGACTCCCTCTTGCAGACGACCACGTGGCTGTTGGTGTAGACTGCGAGCATCTGTCAGCTCAGATCGAGGAGTATATCCTTTGCACAGTGTATACAGGGTCAAAGGCTTCTGGTAGAGTTTCTAGGCAGAGTTGTGCTTCTCCAGTAGCTGTCAGATACCACTGGTAGGTTATACAGTGCCTTCTTGGGGGTAATCTCCCGACCTTTCCTGGGCCCTAGATGGGTAAGGGGCTGTGACTACTTCATAGATCTGGGCCTCAAACAGGAATGAGTTTGGAGAAGGCATGACACTGTAGCCCCTCAGTTCCCCCACAGGGCTTGAGTGGGTAAACTCATTTCCATGTGGCTGGGCAGAACATTTCCCATATGATTCCGAGGAAGGGATGGAGCTCAGAAACCTCAGATGGGTCCTTAAATACCCTTACGCATCTTCCTGGATGTGGGAAACACAGACATGAAGTACAAGAACCGTGTGCGGAGCCGGATCTCCAACCTGAAAGATGCCAAGAACCCTGGCCTGCGGCGAAATGTGCTGTGTGGTGCCATTACACCCCAGCAGATAGCTGTGATGACATCAGAGGTGAGCCCCACTGGAAGGGCTGGGGCAGGCTGTTTCTGCAGAGCTGCAGGCTGAACACTTGGCCCCTTTATCAGGAGATGGCCAGTGATGAGCTGAAGGAGATCCGCAAGGCCATGACCAAGGAGGCCATCCGTGAGCATCAGATGGCCCGTACAGGTGGCACACAGACTGACCTGTTCACCTGCAGCAAGTGCAGGAAGAAGAACTGCACCTACACGCAGGTTGGGGTCCACTCTATCTTCCTTGGCTGGGACCTCAGGGCATACCCATCCTCCTCTCTTGGATACCACCTATGTCCTTACTGCTGTTGGTCCGGGGCCCTGCCCAGCATGGAGAGACAGGAGTATAGTATTGTTTGGTAGTGGCTGTGGTACCTTCAGACCCTGCTGGTGGAGGCTGAAGTATTCTGGGGAGACCATGTGGACTCCAAGAGATATTAGGGACTTGGGAAGAGGGGGGGAGTGGATTAAGATGGTCTCTCTGGTAGACTATTCCAGGGCTTGTGGAAGCTACCATCATCTATAATAGGGCATGAGGGGTAGGGCCACCAAGTCCTCACTACCTGTAAGGACTGCCCCTGGCCCTGTGAAATAGGTTCTTTTCTTGGGTCTCCTAGATGGCCAGGGTCACTGGCATCTCTGCTGACTCTATAAAGGGTCACTATATAGACCCCCCCCCCGTAGGGAATCCTGCACTTATCTGACATTCTGGACTCTACTGAGCCCAGTTGTTCAGGCCCACAAAGGCTTCTGTTGTGGTGATCCACTTTCTTAACAGGCCCAGTTCTAGGTTGAGGTCATTGGGAAGTTTCAAATCAAGTCATTAGTAGAGATCAGGGGGTATGAAACCAGGACTGTCCAGATCAGGGCAGCAAAACCAGGGATTCAGCCACCCACCCTACAGGTGCAGACCCGCAGCTCCGACGAGCCCATGACCACTTATGTTGTCTGCAACGAGTGTGGGAACCGCTGGAAGGTAGGTGGGTGGGCCCAGAATGCTCACCTCTCAGCACATATTAAGTATGAACCAGGGCCCACTGTACCCAGTTAGCCTCCTGGGAGTCTCTGGGATGGAGCCCCATGCCTGTTCCATTTCTGCCCTAGGGGATCATGTAGGGCGTTGGCCAGACATTTCTCTGCCTTCCTGCAGTTCTGCTGATCCCTTGTACTGATGTGTTGTTATGGCCATGGCTAGCATTGCCCCCTCCTGCAATGTTCTTTGTGGACACAGCTTCTCTGGAGATCCCCAGAAGGTGGCATGCTCTGTCCCAGTCTGCCTGCCTGGTGTGCCCCTTTTTGCCCTTTGTCTCTCATTAAATGTTTTCTTTTGCCTTTCTCTGGCTTTGCTCCTGGTGAGCCACACAGAGGCTTCAGCTGGGTCTTGTTCTTCCATTGCTGTAAACACCTCTCCTCCCTGGGCTCAGACGACACTTGAGCTAAGCTGTGGTAGGGCAAAGTAGGCAAGAGCATGTCTGTTTTCCAGAGAGATCACTTGTACATGCGATTCTAGGATATACAGCTTATATGTGTCCCACCATGCTGGCTGTGTGGGCGGTGGCGTATGGGACCTTGCCCAGCGTTCACCCCTGCTCACCACATAGGAGGAGGATGGTCTGAGGTCAATTCTAACTTCAAATTGCTGAAACTCCCAGCAACTTGGAGGATCAAAGTAGTGGGTGCTTTGCTTTATTGGACCCATAAGATGAAGATGACATTGTTCCCAGCTACTTTGAGGAGGCTACACCATCAGCTTTGTCCCTACCAGCCTCTAGGAAGACATTTCACCAAGTACACAGGAATGTGGGATAATCTTCTCAAGCCTTTGTGGGGTGCTGACCCATTTAAGAGTTGAGGCCAGTTCCTAGAGCCATACCTTGGACAGGGCCCCGAATAGTTACCTACTAAGGCTACTGTTACGGGGGAAGGGCACAGGGTAGAGTCTGGATGGATAAGCCTCTTCTCCAACTGTGGGATAAACGGAAACTTATTTTTAAAAGGTCAAGAATATTATATCATGTTTTTGGCATGTGAGGGAATACAGGTGACTGTGAAAGCCTTTTTTCTTTTGATAAAATGTACATTAAGGACATATTTCGAATTTTAAAGTTCATTAACATATAAAATATAAATGGGCTCTTTATTTGAGCCTGACTCTGAGGTCCTACATCTGGTTCTGAGGAATAAACAGTTCTCCTGCTACAAACCTGTTGGCCTAGGCTGTTCTCTATGAGAACATCTCTTGGGCACGTGACCGGAGGGTCTGAGGCACCATCTAGGAGAACCCCCAGTTGGAGCAGGCTAGGGCAGAGCAGAACATTGCAGTTGCCACTGGGACAGAATCTACTTCCAACCAAATGGGGCAGGGTTAGCCCCTAGTCTGCCCGTAGGTGTAGAACATCTGTGTGGCAAGCACCTAGGCCTCAGAGGAGGACTGTGGGGCCCCCTGGAGTAGCAGAGAACGATAGGCGGGAGAGGTGAGGAAGCGAGGATAGGAGTCCCGGTGCATGAGGGTGTAGATCTGCAGCTGTGCATCATCAAATGTGTGTGGCGATGGCTCTTGCATCTTCCTATTGATGCCTTCTCGCACACGGGAGTCCAGGCTCACCTGTGTGGCAGGCACCAAGGTCAGGGGGTGGGGCAGTGCCCTTCCCAGGCCAACCCCCACTTATCCCTGCATCTGGCGCACCTCCTTGGGGGACAGGATGGACACGTAGTCCTCATAGATAAGTCGCGCCTTCTCATCCACCACATGTTGGTTGGCCTCTGCTTTCAACTCCTCACAGGCCAGCCAGAAGAGCATGTTCTCTTCGCTGTATTCTGTGCGCAGGAATGCCCGGAACACACTGCGGCCCGTGGGGCTATGCATCAACTTGTCAAAGGACTGTGCCCAGCTTTGTACTTCCTCAGGGCTTGGTGGAGTGCTGCAGGCATTAGGGCCAGACCATGTCAGACTTGAGTCATGCACACAAGTACACATGCACGCGCGCGCACACACACACACACACACACACACACACACACACACACACACACACACACACACACACAGTGGCTGCTGTACTCACCAAACTTCACAGCTGGGGAGGGGTTGCAGTTTGCTTTCCCGAGAAGCCTGCCAAGCTCGCTGCCGTTCTTGGTTCCTAGTGGCAAAGGAAGGTGGTACTACCTTATGCAGTTGGGTTCTCTACACACCGCTGTGGCTATATGAATGCCTACACTAGTTAAGTCTGTTGCAAGGAAGGAAGCTCCTAGGGTGAGCCTTCTTAACATCCTCTTGTTCCCTCACTGAGGCCTCTTTCCCGGTCAGCAGTTGGACTCTTCTGGTTCCTGGTATCCCTCCCTCTCTTTGGACTGCTGGGTAGAACCATACTCCTCAGCCTAGTTCCAGCTCATTCCTGAGTCCACTGAACAACCCACACTTCAGGCCTACTGTCAGCAATATGACTCACTGGCTAATGTAGGGTAAGAGCCCCTCCAATGTGTTTGTACCTGTCTGATCCTGGATCCTGAACCCTGCTTCCAAGGGAAACTCGTCCCTGTCAAGTCTATGCTCAGCTGGCACAATGAACACTCATTCCCACAGGTGTGGAGACAATTCAACTCCTACCAGGCTTGGCTTCTCAGCAACAATACAGCCCAGACTTCCAACGAGCCCTACCTATTCATATTACATTCCTTGAATCTTGCCTATACCTTGGTCTGGGTGACTTGCTGTTCAATAGACCCCTTAGTCTGTGTAGGGCCAGATTGCTGTAAAGTAGACTTCTACCGCCCGTCTTCCCTACTCCTGCCATCAGACACCCCCAAACCTTAAATGCCTTTCTGCCCAGAGCCAGCCGTTCCTTTATCCAAGTCTACTCAAATGTGTCCACCACTGCACATAGTGTGGGGTGGTCTGGGGAGCTCTCAGTGGTATAAACACGTATATGGTGAGTGCATGGACACCATATGCATGCCATCTGCTTAGCTCTTGCATATTATATGCCTCCAGCACACCAGGTTTAAGAGCCACACAATGGGGGCCGAGAGATTGCTCAGTGTTCAAGAGCATTTGCTGATCTTTCTTAGGATTTTGGTTTGGTTCTCAGGACCTATTTGTAACTCCAGTTCTAACACCTTGTGGCCTCTTCAGGTACCAGGTATGCATGTGGCACACATATATTCAGGCAAAACATTGATACACATAAGATTTAAGAGCCATATAAAGCCCCTTAGAGAATCTGGGCACTACTACCAGCCAACAGGGCTCTCAGCAATCTCTGGACAGGGTGATGCTGTGGCAGGGGCACCTGCCTACAAGTAGTTTCTTGTAAAGCCAGTGGAGGGTCTAGGGAGCAGGACTGGGTCTGAGTCCTAAAAGCCACCCCATCCCACCCCTCTATGGCTCAGTGCTTCTGTATCTCTTCTATGGGCTGATCCCCAGGCCCACATACTCTGGCTTTGCCCCCCCCATGAGCCATGTACCCCTACCCAAATGCCCTGGGGTCTCCTTCCCAGTGTAAGCTGCACCCTCAAGGTCCACGTACCAGGAGCAGCTGCAGCAGCAGCACCAGCATAAGCAGCAGGGGTTGCGACTGGGGGGTCCTGAGGGGGCTGCATCATGGCTGGACATCGAGGGGGGCCTGTCCGCCTCCTCTGGTCCTGTGTGCTGAGGAAGAGGGGGCTGCCTCAACCTCCACTCCAGAATTCACTGGACCCTATGTCTGCCCACCTGCCCAACTGGCCTCAGGTGTCCAGGAACCCAATTAGAGGTAGGAGGTGCCTACCTGTTTCTCAGCCTCATGTGGGGTGGGCATGTGTGGGTAGAGGGGGTTGCCCGGGTTCTGTGGTGCCAGCTCTGGACCTTCAGTGCAGTCTGGGAGCTTGGATCTGAGAAGAGTGTTGGGAGTTCTGACTGAGGGCCTGTGACCTGGGCCCACCTTGTAACCTCTGCACCCACCTCAGGGAGAGGTCCCTCCGAGGGAGCTTGCTCGGAGCCCTACCCCAAGCCTGTGTGCCTACCCCATGCAGAGGTGCCCCAGGCAATGATGGGGCCACTGCAGTTGGGCCTCCCACAAAGGACTCTAAGACACCCGCATCTGCTCAGTCCCCGAGAAGCCGGAAGCCTGGGTTCCTCTTTCTTGGCTTCCGGCTCCTGGCCCCTCCCAAGGGGACCGGAGCTGCAGGCTGGTATGGAGGTGATCGGATACTCTGACCACTCCCCTCCCTCTAAGTAGGTGGGTAGAGATGCTACCCAGATGACTGCAGAGGGCTAGGTCTGAGGCACCCCCCTCAGAACAAGACTTCCTGAAAGTGAGGGGTGGGGGTGGGGGGTTACCCGCTGATGAGAGATGTGTACTCAGGTAATGAGACCCTTAGGTTCTCAGCTGCCTCAGACCCCCCCCCCTCCACACTTCCACCCTGGTTTCCCTTTATCTCCCGAAGATGCAGAAGCAAGGAGTGCTAGCCAGGGAAGCTGGGGTGGCAATGTGGGAGGATGAGCTGCTTAGCTGGAGCCCTGGGTCCTTCAAAGGGTTTTCATATGATTTATCATTCTTGATGTTTGGACCACACCTTCACAGGGGGCTCTAGGAACCTCGCAGGCCTCTGAAAGCTGACTTAAATTCCAGTGTCCCCAGGAGAAACAGAAGCAAAGCATCCAATTAGCACCCTGGCAGCAGTTTTGAATGCCTCCTCTCTCCCCAGCCTGTGCCCTTTTTTTTATTTTTTTTATTTTTGTCCAGGTGGAGGCCATCCAGGCTTTTAGACCTCTGCTCTGTCCACCTTCCTCTCATGAACCCGGGGCTCACATTACTCTCTCGGTGAAATTCACCCTCCTGCGGCCCCTCAATCCAGCAGAGGGAGGCCCTTTAATCCTCTCCTGCCTGACCTCTGTACACGGAGGGCAGCCTCACCACCTGATTTCTGAGACGGTGGGTTCCCAAGTCTCCCAGCATGCAAACCAGGACACAAAAGTAGCATGGGCTGTACTTCCCTGGGGTCGAGCGGCTAAGGGAAAGAAAGGGGAGTGGTACCCTGAGGTCTCTAGGCTCTCTAGAGTCATCCCCCCATGCAGACCATCCCCCAGATGCTCCATGTCCAATCAGCTGACTGGACAGGGAGCAGCCTGGGGTGTGTAGGGCCTGGATGTTGGGGTCCAGTGTGTGCAGAAGCCGGTGCCTGCCCCTTTCCCCAGCTGCAGGCTCTCTGGTCCTGGCTCCTGGCACCCATCCAAAGGTCAGCTGGGACCACCCATGTTGTCCAGGGTGCTCTTGACTACCGCCTCCCTTCTTTCTGGGGGGAAGGGGAGCCCAGAATCTGAATTAGGGTTCTCCTGCCCCTTATCTGGATACTGGAGGGCTCCTTCCCTCCCCAAGCCTCCCAGGCGTTGGCCTCCCAAGTCTACGGCTGAGAGACCAAATGCAGCAAATCTGGTCTCTGGGGACAGAAACTCCCCGGGGAATGGCTGCCGTGTGGCTCCACAGAAGAAAATGTCCAAGCCCGCCCAGTCCAAAAAAAAAAAAAAAAAAAAGGACAATTCTAGAAAAAAAAAAGTCATAACCGTTGGGAGAGGGCTAATAGGGGGTTCCATTCATTCCCACTTCCATCCCACGCTGTCATTGTCCTACCTGTACCTCCAAGGCAGGCCAGACCTCTCTCACCATGGCGAACCCTGCTGCCCAAGCCCACCTGTGGGATGGCAGGCCCCCACCCAGTTACTGCTTTCTGCTGGTGGGGTCGTCTGGAGGGCTGGTCTCTTCTTCGCGGTCCCTCTCGCAGTCTCTGACGCCCCCACCCCTTTCTTAAGGAATTCGCCATGACGCCCCACTCACCAGCGACCTAAAGGCGGATGGGGGCGGGAGGGCCAGGTTCGGTCTGGGCCCCACCCTGGCTGCCGAAGGGGCGTGCTCTAAAGCAGCAGGGACTTAAGTCAGACAGCAAGATGTACTCCTGGGTATTCGCGAGGTAGCAAGGCGCACAGAATCCCGCTCGGGTGGGGCCGGGGTGGGGTGGGGTGGGGGCCCCGCAACATTCACCCCTAAGGTTCCCTGGGCCGAGCGGCTAGAGGACCCAACTCGGAGGGTGGGTAAGGTGGTGGATCGGGTGTCTGGTCTGGCCCCTCCCCACTAGGCTAGCGGGCGGGAGACACGGAAACCTGGGTTCTTCCGGCCCCCACCTTTAGCAATTACTTCTCAAAGCTCTGAGCTGAAGAAAAAGGGGAACCTTGCTGCAGCTCTCCCTCCCCCACGCGCAGGGGGTGGGCTCCCGTCCCACCGCGACCCAGGTCCACGTGGACCGGCCGCTGAAGTCCGGGAACAGAGCCGGCATCTACATCTCCGGGACCCGCCCGCGGTCCTGCGCCGCACTCACCGCCGAGTCCCCGAGTCACACCGCCCGCGCGATCCGAAGTCCTGCTGGTCGCCGGGGAGGGGGCGCAGGCGCAGTGCGCAGGCGCCTCCGCGGTACTTCCCCAAAGAGAGGGGCCGGGACTTCCTCGAGCCCCAGCGCCTGCTCGCCCGCAGTGCCCCGCCCCGCGCCCGCTCCCGCGCCCCACCCGCGCTGGCGTGTCGTCCTGCGGTAGCGTGGCATGGTGACCCTGAGGGGTGAGTCGTACACAAACAGTGGATTGAGCTGGCGCTCCGTCTGATTAGCTAGGTTTCCCCAGCCTTTCCTTTATGTGGCAGTGCCGTGTGGGGCACCAGAGCTGAGCCCTGTGTGCTTCTTGGCTCCTCCGGAGAAGAAGAGGCCTTTGGGAAGGACTGGCCTGTGGTACTGCCCTGCCCGGCCCACCCTTCGCATTTCTGAGCCTGGTCTGTAACTCGAAGCTAAAGTCTGTCACTCTGCTGTGGAACTTTTCCAGAGAAAGGGAGATTCGGGAACTGCATCTTGGTGGGCACTGTGAATGAAGGTTCTTATATCAAATTACCCCCGAAAGTTTCTGGGGCCTGGTTGAGTCCCTATCGACCCCTCAAATTGCTCCAAGATAGCCTTTTTCTGCAAATGGCCTTGCTCTTTGGCCAGCTCTTCAGATCCCTTATGATTGGGTACAGATTTGAGCTAGCTCCTTATCCCAGCATGCTCTGGGCAATTGTCCAGGGGCCCTGACCCTACTCTAGACTTGGTCCGTAGGGTGTATGTGATTTCTTGGGCCATGCGGTTCCTGCTCTTCTTAGCACTGGGACATACAGCCTGACCAGTTCAGGTGCTGGCTGGGTTCTTGCTAACAAAAATGCCTTTCAATTGCACAGGTTGTATATGCTGACCACATAAGTCAGAACATGCATAGCAAATACCTCACACTAGCTCTTCAGGTAGTGGGCCAGAGGCAGACAGACTAACCTGGAGCTGACTGCAGTGGACCAGAATGGAAAACAGACACGAAAGGGATGGGGTGAGAGGCAAGGAGGGCAGGATGTTGCCATGATGATGCTCTGGGAGTCTGGATGAAGAGAGAACGCTGGTTGCGAGCCCGAGGCTACCAGGCTTCCCTCTAATGCTGCATAGGGCTCGATGAAAAAGCCAGAACCCTTTGGCTGCCGCCTGATGGATTCCAAAGGCAGGCAGAGGCTGAGAAGCCCATCCGAACAGTCGTAGTTGCTTTAGATAATCGTCCTGAGAGGCGGACGCAGTTTAGAACAGGGAGGCCCAGCAGAGATGGGTCAGTACCAGGTGGAGACAACAACACGGACGCTGATTCTGCAGTATCTGGTGTGGGCCCCTGGCTGTGGGCAGAAGTCAGTGTGCTTCCTTCCCCTCAGCTCATTTTACATGCACACTCGTTCTCTGCTACCTTACATCTGCTCTACACATAACTAGTATCTTTCAAAATGCCACTAAATGTAGGCAGGAGACCTGGAGCGCTGAGCAAGTCGACACCAGTGAGGATGGAACTTTAACACACGGTTTACCTTTTTCCAGAGCAGGACACCCCCCCTTCCCCCCGCCACTCACAAGCCCCGCTTAACTGTGCATGTGCCACAGGCTTTGTATCCCGGTTGGATTTTCTTCAGACGGAGGGATCCTGCGCCACCCTCCTGAGCCTACTCTGTAAGCCCAACAGCCCTCACTGATGTGGAGATCAAGTGGCACTCTTTTTTTTTTTTTTTTTTTTTTTGGTTTTTACGAGACAGGGTTTCTCTGTATTGTTTTGGAGGCTGTTAGTCCAGCCCAGCCTCGAACTCACAGAGATCCACCTGCCTCTGCCTCCCGAGTGCTGGGATTAAAGGCGTGCGCCACCACCGCCCGGCTTCAAGTGGCACTCTTAAGCTGGTCTGACACTTGGTGTAGAGACAGCTCTCAGGATGTGTGTGGGCGTCTGTCCTCAACCCTCTGCTCTGAGGTACTTATATGAGTTACTCACTGTGGGACACTGCGGTGACCTTAGGAGGCATCTCTGCAGTCACCATGAGGAAATGCAGGGTCGGAAAAGCGACTTCGCTAAACAGACGAAGTTTTTCTAGGCCCTTGGCAAATCCTGGATTCTAGACTACAAGGAACTTGACCAGAGGAGCCCAGCATTGGCTATCATCTGGCATAATTGACTGTCATTAGACGACTCCAATCTGGGCGAGTGTGACCATCCTTCCTGGATGAAGAGACTGTCTCCTTTTCCCTGTCTACACCCACGTCCAAACCTACCATTTCCCTGCTCTACCATCCTCCCCACTGCCTGAAACCCCCTCCCCTCCGCTCCTGAGAGCTGCTGCTAGTTTGTGAGTGCTGCCATCTGGGTTTGGCTCAAGGCCCGTGGCAGCAACAGGCCAGAAAGTGCAGGGGAGAAGACCAGCTGAGGAAACAGAGCCCTGGGAACCGGCCATCAGTGAGTCAGAGCCCTCTGGACCACAGTTTTGATCTCTTCTTCTTCCCTTCTGTTCTCTGCTCCATGAAGAGCCAGGGGGAGCTCCCATGCAGGGCCAGGGAGCTGTGTACCTCCCCCTCTGTCCAGCCTGCTGGGTAGGGGCCGGGGAGAAGGACGTGGAAGGGCCTGAGGGGCAAGAGACCACAGGTTCTGCAAAGAGCCCACGCTCCGGAGAAGAGGAAGAAGAGCCGCCCAGAAACCAGGGGCTTTTCAGGGTCTAGTGGTCAGAACGGGATGAGTGTCTTCCTTCCTGCGTCCCATGTTTGGTGGATGAGTGGGCACAGGAGGCTGTTTCTGTTGAAAGGGAGGCTGTGGGTGAGTCTTGTGTCCCACCATCCAGGGACCTTGGTGAGGAGCACTCCTGTTCACAGCCCGGTGGTCCTCTGGGCATGACTGGACTCTCCAAAGGTGAGCTTTGACTTGGCAGTCACTCCCTCTCCCAGAATGCCACCCGAGTCCTCAGATAGAATGACCCTAACTTAGGAGACAGCCCTGATTTCTGCGGGTGCTGGTGTCTAGGCAGGATCATCCCTATCCTTTTCCACACTAGTACCCGCCCTCCCCCTCCCCACCTCTATGGCTTTGAAGGGCACCTATTGCCCGATGGGGGCAGGCAGTTGGGAGATAGGAGTGTCCACCCACCGACATTTCCCTCTTGTGCCCTGAAGTCTGTGACTGTGGCTGTGGGAGAGGCAGCATCCACGCTTGCCCTTCCCTGCGGGAGCCCGGGTGGGGGGGAAGAGAGAGGAAAGACCAGAGAATCCTCCGAAGAGAACTTTATGTGAGAAGGTGGGAAGCCGCCGTAATCCGGAGTCCCTGTAGGCCAAGGTCGCGGTCATCGCGGGAAGATGGTGCCATCTACCGCCTCTTCCAGGATTGTCTCAACACGCCTCCGCTGCGGAGAAAAGGGGCTGGGGCCAGCGTGTGGCGAGGCACAGGACCTCCCACCGGTCTTTAGGTTTGCCCGTACCTCTTGTCGGTCCAGAGGATCGGGGATCTTCGTGGGCTTCAGTTGGGGTGGTAGAAACAGTTCCAGTCGGATGGCGGCGCGCGCGGAGCCCTGACTCCGAATCAGGAGCGTGATTTCCTCTGCCTGGGAACCGAGCTTACTGAGCAACCCTGGCGAGCTGACCAGAGGGTCCCACCCCCGCGCCCCCACCCCCGCCACCTGCCTCCTCCCGCCGGCGGGGTGGGTCCTCTTTCGAGGACCCTCCCGGTAGGCCCTATGCATACCCGCATTCGGGTGTAGCGCAACCTCAGGGCGCGGACTCGGCTGCGGGCCTCTGCGGCCTTGAGGACACCCAGAAGCCGATTCTGACGCACAGCTGGTAGTTCCAATGCCTGCGTCCAGGTACGCGGGTCGGGCATGCAGTAGGATACCTCCACCGACTCGCGTGGAAAGAGGGAACCGGCCGCGCCTACGTCGTCGAGCAGGTCTCCAAAGAGCAGGTGGCGGCGGCGATGTGTGGGGAGCATGGCCGCCAGCTTCTCCTGAGTCAAGGCCCAGCCTGGCTTCGGAGGCTCTGTATTCCCCTGGCCCTTCTTCTTGCCTTTCTCACCAGCTCCAGGTGCACTCTTTTTGGCCCGCTCCCGCGCACCCTTTACTCCCTGGGATGGCATGCTCCAGTCTGTGGAAGAAAGGGGACGTCCCGTTACTAAGAGGGAACTCTATGGCTCTAGCTGTGTTTCTTCGAAACTTCTTGTAGCCACCTAACTCAGGTCCCTAACTGGTAGCTGACCCTGTCTGTGCATATCTGCGATGGGGTATGACTTTCTAATCCTCTCCAGTTTTAGTAGTTTACCCAGTTTAGGGCTATAAAATCAGATGGATTGTCCTACATGCCACAACCCGCATTACTATGGTCATGGGTCATTCTGAGTCCCCTAAATCTAGAGTTCCAGAGATTGGTCTGGTCCTCAATCCCTAGCCTTTGGTTGGGGTAAGGTTAAGGACATGATATCTTGGGCAGAGAAGCCCACCCTGTGAGTATGTCCACGAATCTGCTTGAGTGTGTGTGTGTGTGTGTGTGTGTGTGTGTGAATGTGTGGTATTGCAGGTATATGTGTGTCTGGATCTGTGTGTAAGGACGCACCTATGTACACTGGGAAAGCTCAGCCTCTGTCCTCCTGGCCTATCTCCTCATGGGTAGAGACGTGGGGAGCGGAACCCAGGGAAGATGTGACAGAGGGGGAATGGCCCAGAGTGGGAAAGGAAGTCAACCCTAGCAACCATTGCCAGCCTAGCCACAGCTCCTGACTTCCTGTGGGTGTGGGGTAGAGACACGGCTGAGTGCTCTCCCTAAATCTTTGCCCACCTACCAGCTCAGCATCCAGGCCTCCCCACCCCAAGTCCTCACACCCCCGTACTTTCTGCCTTGTCCGTGGGAAAACACGCTTCAGTTTTGAATCTCTGGGCTTGTTGACTATGTTGCTTAGCAACCTGGAGCTCCACCCACCCACCCTGGCAGTGCGGGTGTACCACTATACGAGCTTTAAGATCCAGGGATTAGGGCCATGTATGTGTTGTGTCCTGTCCCAGGTCCTCTCCCAGGGTCCCTTCAAAGTGACTGTGAAGTTTTCGACCGTGAGTCTCAGACTCACTGTCCTGGTCTTGGGGGCTGGTTTCTGGCTCTTTAGAGCTAGCTTTCTAGGCAGAGCTCCTACAGATACTTTTGAGACTAAGGCCCACCTTAAGCCCTTATAGGAACTCAGAACCCCCTTTTCACCAATTCTGGAGCAAGTTTGGGGATCTCAGCCGTCTAGAGATCTACCAAGATAAGACTTGAGTTTTGCTGGTCCTAACCCTGTATAACCTTGGATAGCAGGCCTTAGAGTTCTATAATCTAATGTGCACTCATTAATTTAGTTATTTTAAAAAACTACTATAGTTTAATTTTTAAATAAACTAAAACTTGTAAATTAAAAAGAATCACACGCAAAAATTTGCAAGCCCTCACATCTATACATCACAATAGTCATTTGGATGGGAAACTGTGTAGCTTCACGTTGGATTTTACTCTTTCAGTGTCAAATATATTTTTATGCAGGTATCCACCACCAAACCCAAAAAAATCTATGACAGAGTTAGAACTAGAAAAACAATTAGCTTTATATCCTTTTTCTTTTTTTTTGTTTTTGTTTTTTTTTGGTTTGTTTGTTTGTTTGTTTGTTTTTTTTTGGTTTTTCGAGACAGGGTTTCTCTGTGGCTTTGGAGGCTGTCCTGGAACTAGCTCTTGTAGACCAGGCTGGCCTCGAACTCACAGAGATCCGCCTGCCTCTGCCTCCCGAGTGCTGGGATTAAAGGCGTGCGCCACCAACGCCCGGCTATATCCTTTTTCTTAACTTGTGTCCATCACCTGCATTCAATTATTCTGCATCCCCTAATATTTAGTCTTTTTTGTTTTCGTTTCTACATATTATACTACAACCTTATATACATTTGTTTACATATATACACATATTGTTGGCTAAAATTTGCATATGAGGGAGCATTCCCTTTAAAATGGGGAAAGACACAAGGCTATCCATTCTCCCTTTCTTATTTGATATAGTGCTTAGAGTCTTAGTTACAGGAATTAGGCAAGAGAAAGATATAAAAGGGATAAAAATAGGAAAGGAAGAAATCAAACTGTCCCTATTTGCAGATAGCATAATTCTTTACATAAAAGTCCCTAATGACTCTACTGGAAAACTACTGGACATAATAAATACTTACAATAAAGTTGTAGGATACAAACCCATTTAAAAAAATCAAGCAAGCAAACAAACAAACCCAGTAGGGGCTATAGAAATGGCTTAGAGTACTGACTCTCTTCCAGAGGAACCTGGAACCTGGTTTCAATTTCCCACATGGCAGCTTAAGACCATTTATAACTTCAGCTCCAGGGGATCTGATGCCCTCTTCTGGGCATCTGAGGATACCCGGCATGTAAATGGTGCACAGGCATACATGTAGGCAAATCACCCATATACATTAAACAAAGCAAAGCAAAGCATTTATACTACCAGTATACTCTCAGAGAAAGAAATCATTCCATTCAAAAGAACTTCAAAAATTCAGTATTTAGGAATACATCTAACCAATCAGTGAAAGACTTGTACAACAAAAGCCTTAAGATATTGAAAAAGTGAAGTAGAGAAATGTCTCAGGCTAAGAACAGTGCTCTTTTGGAGGACTTGGGTTCAGTTCCTGGCATCTGTCAGTTGGTGGTGGCCCACACCTTTAATCGCAGCACTACAGGCAGATTTCTGTGAGTCCAAGGCTATCCTGGTCTATAGAAAGAGTTCTAGGACAGCTGTGGCAGTTACACAGAGACACTCTGTCTTGAGAAACCAAAACCAACCAACCAAATAAATAAAGTGTACTACTGTTCCTTGCACCCACATGGAAACTAATACCCAGACAGTCTCTTTGGACTTCTGCAGGCAATACATGCATATGGTGCAAAGACATATATGAAAGTATGACACCCACACACAAAATAAAAATAAATCTTAAAAAATGATAAAAAAGGGAATCACATAAGATACTAGATTATGGAAAAAAACATTTTATGCTCCTGGATTGGTAGACATGGCTATACTACCAAAATTAATTTACAGATTTAATGTGATACCTATTAAAATTCTGATATATGTCACAGGTTTAGAAAAAAGTAATACAAGAACTCATGTGGAACCACAAAAGACCAAGAATTGCCAAAACAATCCTAAGGAATAAGAACATTGCAGGTAGCTGGGCTATGGTAGTGCACGCCTTTAGCCCCAGCACTCTGGAGGCAGAAGCAGATGGATCTCTGTGAGTTTGACATCAGCCTGGTCTACATTGTAACATGAAAATTAAATACCCAGAGACCTATATTGGGGTTCAAATTCAAGCTGAAGATTAGAAAAGCAAAGTAGGGGCCACTAGCTCTTATCACTGTCTCAGACTCAATGGACTGATCCTGCTGCCTCTCCTCAGCGTGACTGGAGAATTCTGAGACATGTCTTCCTATCCTCAATGTAGCTGGAGAATGAATGCCTGATACTGAGACTTTGCTCCCTAGTTCTGGGATTAAAGGTATGTGATCCTAGGTGCTGAGGTCATCTCTGTGTGAGCTGTTTCTCTTTAGGACTGAATCAATCTTGTGTAGCTCTGGGTGGCCTTGAACTCACAGAGATCCATCTACCTCTTAATCCTGAGTCCTAGGATTAAAGGTGTGCACCACCGCATCCTAGCTTCTGGCTGCTGGGATTAAAGGTGTGTGCCTGGCTTCTATAGTTTGTGACTGACTTTCTAAATCTTCAGGCAAGCTTTAATAAATCACAAATAATATATCTCTACATTACAGAGTGAGTTCCAGGACAGCCAAGGCTAAACAGAGGAACCCTGTCGCAAACAAACAAACAAACAAACAAGCAAGAACATTGTAGGCAGTTATTATAATACCTGACTTCAAATTATAATGATAAGGACAGCTTGGTATTGGCATAAAACCACACAGGTAGGTCGATAAAATAGAATAGAGGACCTCAAATAAAATGAGAAGGATATGCCCACTTAATTTTTGACCAAAGAGGCAAAAGCATACACTGGGGAGAGAGCAGATTATTTAACAACTGGTGCAGGCAAAACTGGGTTTCTACCTGAAGGAGAATGAAAGGATTCTTATCTTTCGTCTTATATAAAAGTCAACTCAAAATGGATGAAAGATCCTAATCTACAACTTGAAACTTTTAGAAGAAAACGCAGGTGATACTCTTCAAGATATTGGGGTAGGCAAGAACTTTTAAAATAGAACACCAACAGCATGAGAACGGATCTTAAATTTCAACAGATGGGACTACATGAAAATAAAGTTTCTGTACAAACTGGCCGGTGGTGGCACACTCCTGTAATCCCAGCATTTGGGAGGCAGAAGCAGGTGAATCTCTGCGAGTTTGCTGCTAGCCTGCTCTACAAAGCAAGTTCCAGGACAGCCAGAACTGTTACACAGAGAAACTGTATCAGAAAAAAAGTTTCTATACAGAAAAGGAAAACCAAAATAACAGAGTAAACAGCTCACAGAATGGAAGAAAATCAAGTGGTTGATATTCAAACTTTATAAATAATTACTGATGGGCTGTCGTGGCTCATGACTTTAATCCCAGCAGAGGCAGGCTGATCTCTGAGTTCAGTCTGGTCTACAGAACAAGTTCTATATAGAGAAACCCTGTTTCAAAAAACAAAAACAAACAAGCAAAAGGCAGAAATTAAACACTAAAGAAACAAAACTATCAACAAATGGGCAAGTGAAACTGAATAGACAGTTTCTTTGGAAAGAAACACAAACATTTAATAACTGCTTAAAAAGTGTTTATCATTCTTAGTCATCATTGAAGTACACATTAAAACTGTTTTGAGATACCACTTCATCCCAGTTAGAATTGCTGTCATCAACAAATCTGACAATGAATGCTGGAGGGGATGTGGAGAAAAAGGAACCCTTATTCAGTATTGGAGAGAGGCAAATTAATACAGCCACTGTAGAAATCAGTTTGGAGATTTCTCAAAAAATTGAAATTAGAACTGGGGCAGAAAACTCCATACCCTACCACAGAGATATTAGCACTTCCATGTTCATTATTGATTTATTCGCTATACTAAAGAATTGGAATTAAACTAGTTGTGCACCAACAGATGAATGGATAATGAAAAATTGGTGTACATATGTAAAATGACATACTCTTCACCTTAAAGAAATGCAATTCCCACATATGCAGACAAAACAGAGGTACACAAGATAGTCTCACAGAATTTGTGGGAAAAAATCAATGGATTTGAATGTATAATTAAATTAAGTGGTGTTCTCCAATCTCAGAGAGGAAAAAAATCTCTCATGTAATTTAGTATATATATATTTGAGACAGGGTTTCTCTGTGTAACAGCCCTTGCTGTCCTGGAACTTGCTCTGTAGACCAGGATGGCCTTGAACTCACAGAGATCTACATGCCTCTGCCTCCTGAGTGCTTGGATTAAAGGTCTACACCACCACACCTGGCATAATTCAATTCTTAATTCTATAATTTACTCATATCAATAACTTTTCACATGATCATACCACATAAATTATTAAGTCCATAATCTGTTAATGAGTATTTCCAGTGCCTGTGTTGAAATCTCCCTTTCATTTCCACATGTATGGGTTATGGCTTCTGGAGTTTGGAACCTGAGCACGTGTGGTAGACCATCTTTTCACTTGTAGTTATT